TTTCCCGGAAAAATCCAATTTTTCCGTCCAATCTTTTCCCGTCCGTGTATATCCATCCCTTATGTGTGTGACCCTTTAGGCTCCTCCGAAGACGGCAGTAAATACGAGATCCAATCTCGCTTTACAAATCTTAAGCGTTCTCTAGCAAGACATTATGTTTACCCGTATCGGAAAGAGTTAGATGTGATCTAACCGAAAAGCCAGAGATAGCTCCGACGATGATCCTCTTTGTCTCACGATATCATAATCGAACTCATAGTTCGAATGCTTTGTCGTATCCCGAGTAGACTGTTAGAGATAGATGACATTCATCTATAGTGTGGCCACACATTTCCACAGTCTCACTCCTACGACGGGCCCAAGCGATATCTCTCTCTTTCGAGAGGGACAAAGTTCCATCTTGACTATCTACTATCCAATGCATGATTCGTAATGTACCCGAGCCACGTCTTTATAGTCATCCGGTTAAAGACGACGTTTGACGCAGTCAAAGTACATTACTCGTCATGATGGATACAATAGATATCTCAGGTCTGAGGATCTAAAGTGAACCATCAAGTGAGATTCAAGTCATGGATTATATCCAATAGACAATCTCACGCGAGTCATCCAGTTACTTGTTCCAAACAAGTACTCATGACCGTGATCCGTATCCAATACACATGATCATCATCATGATCATCCATCACGCCTCATGTTAGTTTTAATTCATCATTGTTCCCACAATGACAAACGACTAAGGAATTTAGGATCGTTCGTAACGATCCAGGGATTATCATTATTTATTAAATATGCAAAATAAATAATGAATAAATAATGTATTCATCCAATAAATACATCGTATCATACATAGTTCTCATATCGTATGATCATCCTAGAGCATTACATCCTTCAAATTTTACCTAACCGACCTATTAGACTCGAAACACAACCTACCTTAAGACCTGATTACGTCTAACCAGACCTAACTTAAGGCTAACCGAACCTGATTACGTCTAATCAGACCTATAACACCGAGTCTACATGGCCCCCAACAAAGTCCTAACCAGTTCTACGATCCCGAGTCTACCTGGTCCCCCACAAAGTCCTAATCAGACCTAACCAAGTGCTATCTAGACCCTAACAGCCCTAGTTAGACAACCAAAAGCCCAAACTAGACCAGAAACCTAATCAGACCTAAGTCAATCCTAATTGACCTATACCCTAAGTCCTAGTCAATCACCTAAAAGTCCTAATCATCAAACCTAAGCCAGCCCTATTGACTTACCAACCCCTGATTAGACTTTTAGTACCCTAATCAGACCTAAACTAAGTCTAATTGACCTAATTCTCATCTGATCAGACCCTAATAATGCCTAAAACCAACCCCTACAGACGTGCCCTGATCTAGACCGACCCCTACAGACTTATACTTAGTGATTCTAGACTTAACCAACCCCTAAACCAACCCATTTTAGTCAAATTCCCAGCTAATCAGACCTAACCGGTCAATGTACCGGACTCTATGACTCAAAACAGGTACTTAGGAGTCCTATATAGTCCTAAACTAGATAATACCTAAATCTATAATCAAATTCTAATCTGATCAGACCTAGACAATGTCTCTATAGACATTCTAAACCTCTAATCAGACCTAACCAAGTCTATTTTGACCTAATTACCTACTGATCAGACCTAAACCATGCTAGACCAACTCAAATTTGGCTAAACCAGACCTAACCAAAACCTAAACAGCACTTACAGACCTATATCAGACCTAACCCAATCTACTACATACCTGTACCAGCCTATTTAAGCCTAACCCGACCTCCTACCCAGCTAAACTTAGTCAAATCCAACCTATTCAGACCTATACTGAACAGAAACCGGAATCTATGACCTACATTAGCTAAACCGAGATCTAAACAGGTCTAACCCTAGTGAATTTTCACTAAACCAAGCCAAATTGAGTACTAGACCAATCTAACAGGGTAAACCGATCACTACAGACCCTAATCTACCCTAAACCAGTCCACTATGCCCTAAACCAGACACCATCAGCCCTAATTTGGACTAACCTAACCCTAAACCAGTTAGTTCTAGTCCTAATTGTACACTCCAGACCCTAAATCGATCTAATCTGGTCCTAAAACACGAATTCAGACCTTAACCTGATCAATACTAGTCCTATACCGATAAACCAGACCTAAATAAGACCTATATCAGCCTATACCGATCTAGATTTACCTTAACCGAATCCAATTGATCTAAACCCGGACAATTCTAGCCCTAATTGGACAAATCAGACCTAAATCAGATCTATATCAAGTCTAAACCGGCCTACATTGACCACTACCGGACTTAATTGACCTAAACCAGTCTGAATTAGTCAGAACCGAACAAATCAGACCCTAAATTAGACCTAAACTAGCCTAAACTAGTCTGAATTGACCTAAACCAGACCTAGATTGACCTAAACTAGACTCAATTGACCTAGACCAGACTCAATTGACCTAAACCGGACCTGGAATGACCTAAACCAGACTCAATTGTCCTAAACTGGACCTGGATTGACCTAAACCGAACTCAATTGTCCTAAACCGGACATGGATTGACCTAAACCGGTCTGAACCGGTCCAATTGACCCCAAACCGGACCTGAACCGACCCAATTGACCTGAACCGGTCCGGTTTGACCTAACCGGTCAACTGTTGACCAATTTTGGTCAACGGTTTGACCTGACCGACCTAAACCGGTTCGATTTTAAATCGAACCGGGTTTAATTACCCAATCGGATTTAAACCGGCTAAACCGGTCTAAACCGAAAACCCTAATTTCGGAAACGTGAGCCGCCGAGTTCACTCGGTCAACTCGGTCGTTGACTCAGTCCGATTTCCCGACTCAGTCGCGACTCGACGAGTCGCGGCCGAGTTTCGCCGGAAAATCCCGGTTTTCCACCGGTTCTCCTCACCCAACCCTAGATCTACACACACAGACTCGAAATCTTACCTGAGTCAACTTGTAACTCGCCCGAGTCTTCAATCTGAGTTAGATCCGAGCCCCTTCCAACTTATCGCCGCCGATCTGAACCGTTCCCATCGTCTTTGACCGTCGATCTTCTCTCAGACGGTCTCCTCGACGTTGTTTCTTGCCTGAAACAACTCGAACCAAGCATCAGAACGTTCAGATCTAGACCAAGGGAACCCCGACTTACCTCGACCGCGTGTCACCGCCGATCTGTCGTCTGCCGCCCCGAACCAGGCTCTGATACCACTTGTAGTGGTTCAGGCCGGCCGGAAATCTCACCAATCTCTCCGATCTGCTCTCGTTTGTGCAAGATAGAAAGAAGAGAACGACACAGAGGAGTTACGAGTTCAGCACCGAGATAAATCTCGGTGCCTACGTCTCGGGAAGAGGAAGTCGTGTGTCTAGGGTTACAGAGCAAGACCGTCGCCGGAACCGCCGAACGGCGGCCCCGGAGACACGCACACACCCGGCGAGAGAGAGAGCTCTCGGCCGTAAGAGAGAGAACCAAAACGCGAGTCTGAGAAAAAATACAAACCCTAGGGTCTCATTAATTCGACCCTTACAAAATACCCATTGTACCCCTCAGACCTTCTGTTTTGTTCCGAAGCTTTGAAAGCTTCCACTTCGTCAAGAGACTTTGGGAAGCCTCTCCTCCATTTGGAGGCTTTGCTGAAGACACTCCACAAGTATAATTTTTTAAAACCGAAAAAAAACGAACTTGAATAACTGATTTGAACCAAAACCCAAAATCAAAATACTCACCCCTAAAAAATAATAATCAATCTAAATCTGTTCCATATATAAAACACATTATTTTTTAAAAAAAAATAATCGAGAAATTGAGTGTTCTTTCAATAAATTAGAAAACTGACTTATAAACGATAATTTTATACATGAATGATAAAAATCAGAACAAATTATTATTTGTGATTATATTTAAATAGCCGTATAGAATATAATAAATTCTTAGATAACATTACAGAGTCTGCAAAAAAGTGAGAAAAATCCTACATTGCCGCAAAAGATCAATAACACAGACTATATAACCAAAACATCAAAGCAACATCATCATCATCATCATCATCATCATCATCATCATCATCTTCATCATCACTGAAGTAGGACCATATCCATTATCCAAGGAGCGATAGCCAATTGATACACATTAGAAAGCAGCAGCAATAAGAAAACAGAAAATAAAAAAAAGATTCGACATTAACCCTTTCTAAAGAGGCTCCAAACAACAAAGCTCCTGGGTTAATTGATACACATTACCAAATAGCAAATTCAGAAATAAAACGCATTAGCCCATTGGGACTGAATGGAGGTGGATTTTCATCCTAATCTGTTTCAAGAAAATTTTGAAACCCACAAAAATTTCTGCAAAAACATTTTGTAAGAGAACAAGCCTTGGAAAGAAAAAATCGTAAATTTAGATAATTCAACTGATTAAATAAGGATGTAAAACGTTTGTCTCGTCCCAAATTCGAACGTAAAATTTGGAGAGGGAGAGTATAATTCAAATCACATGGTTTACTCTCGACTTCAAGATTAGATTAGTGTGAACTTTGGTTGAGGATATCCGGTAACAAAAAAAAAACCTTAAAAAGAAGTTCTGATAAAAACCTTGCTAAAAAAAAACGCGTAAGAACAACTACATATGAACGACCATTCGTTTCACAATCAGTCAACATTTAGTTCACAAAAAGTTCAAAACTTTTCTATCATCTGTTTCTGGGCATTCTTCGATTCACTCTTATAAGAAAAATTAAGCATAAAGAAGTAATTTTCGAACCTGCTGATGGAAGAGACATGCCATTACAGCGAGTGAGGAACGACCATCTCTTGTCTTCTCTTCTCGAGCTCAGAAATTCAAAGGCGATGAGGAACCAAGCTTATATTATTGGCTTAATTCAAGCAGGGCATGCAGAATTACAAGCTCAATCCGCCATTCCCAACAATTAATAGTCTTAAAATAAACTGTGCAAAAGAAGAAAAAAAAATGCAGAAGGCTATCATCACCCAGCAACAAGTCTGTTTTATGTACAGAAGGGTGATTCATCAAAGGGAATGAATCAATCAACCAATCAATGGCATGGTAATGAAGCACCAGACTCCTCGGCCAGACAACCATCTTCGACAACACGTTTCAGATCAATGATGAATTGATCTCGAAGAAACCCAAACCCGAATGTCCCATTTTCGTACAACCAAATCCGCCCATCTCCAGTAGCCGAACCTGGCAAAGCCAAGTCGTAGCTAGAACTCATATGCAATACCCGGGAAACCACCTTCTCGTGATCCTCGGCGGTGAGAGGAGTGATGTGGATTCGGCCGTTGAATATCTGTTCTTCCTCTTCTATAGAAATGGAAGAATCATCCAAAGAGGCTTTAGATGCCCAAAAGACTGGTACAGTGTTCCGTGACAACGACAAGTCTTCTACTTTCCTGCATATGATGCCTCCAACTTCATCATATTTCACAAAATAGAACTCCAGGTTCTTTCCATGGCAGAAACCCTGCCGAGTTCAAGAATTCAACCGCAATGAGCTCATGAAGTTGGGTTTCTAACAAAGACAAAACCAACCCAGTAACCATCCCCTTGGAACACATCAAGCAATGCCCAAATCTCATTACAACTAGACCTTCTCAAGATTAAGATCAAGATCAAATATCATCACTGATAATTTTCTCAAGAAATTCTAGCTGAAATCAATCAACTATAAGCAGTTTAGTTGTTCTGTAGTCACACCTTCCATAAGCCTTGCAAGGGCTTTGTGGTCGTCGGCGAGCAATCGACAACCTTAACAAAGTGTTCTGGTTCCCATTTGATCCTGGCTTGCCGCTCCTTCTCCTTCCTCCGCTGCCGCCTACTGTCGCCGGGGCTCATCCGGTTTGCGAATCGGGAATACATCTCCGAAACCATAAAGTCCGGCGATTTTCCGGTGATCAAATCCTCGCTCTCGTCGCCGGAGCTATTGCTCTTCGATCCTCCGCGAGAATTGTAGGTAGAGCAGCGATTCTCCTCCACCATAAAATGGCAGTTTCCCATGAAATTGACATCCACCGGCACGAAATTGCCATTCGTAAACCCTAGATCTTCAATACCGAACCCTGATCCCGGTTTCCCATCCAGATCGAGGAAATTCACGACCCGACCCTCCTGCGACAAGCCCATCCATAGAAACGGCGTCTTCATGACGTGATAAGTCCCGTTCCCGGTCGGAGAAACCCTAGATCCCAACATGAAGGAAGGTCCCCACTCGAAGAAAACCAACGGCGGAGATGAAGCGGCGGGATTCGCTCGACCGCATCGGCGCCAGAATCCGATCAGATTTTCCCACTCGCTCAGAGTCCTGTAGAGAACTCTGTACCCGATCCGACCCTTCCCCCATTTCTGGATCTGCGTCTTCCTCCCCCATCTCCGGTCGCACATCGCGTGCCAGAGCTTGCCGTCGTCCCGGCACAGCGCGGCGAAGCGTCTCGACGTGCAGGCGAAGCTGGAGATCTCTGCCGGCGACAGGAACGACAGGACGCAGAGCTGGACATCCTCGGGGATGTCTGAGAACGACAGTGCAAATGCATCGATACCACTAGCCATTGTCTCGGACGGATTTTCTCGGGAAAATTATCAGATTTCTCGGGGAAATTCAGGGTTCAGGAACGAAAAGTCACAAGATTTGGGGATGATAAGGCGAGAGGAAAATCGGGTTTGCAGAATTTTCTGTGGTAGATTCTTTGCCGAAGCAAATGGCTCCGAAGAATATTCGTCGCGAGTAGGAAAATGAGTCTTGAGATTCGAAACAGAGAAACATATGACGGCTGGGCTAACTGTAATATCGGTGAAGTTTTGAGGATACAAATGTAAATTCTGTTACAGTACTTTGACGTTACTTGCCACAGAAACGGTGCGTTTCATTGTCACATAACGGAAGGTGGTGAGATCGCCGTCGATGTGATCCAACGGTCAGAATTTAGTTTCTCGTAACTATGTCACTCTGTTTTTTTTAAAAAAAAAAAAAAAAAAAAAAATTGGGACAACCTCGCCAAAGGTTCTTGTTGGGGAAAAAAAAAGTTTCGAGAATGTCTCTGCGAAGCTTCTGGTGCTTTCGTGTAGAAGGATTACAAATGGCGTCGTCTGGAATCTGGATTCTTCGCATCTCTTTATGTGGGAGAGAACGAGCGTTTGGGGACAAAGGTGTAGTAGGGCTTGAGAGCGATTATGGTTTCTGGGCAGAAACTCGGCTTCAACCTGTTTCGTCTCCTCCGGCCATCGGTGCCGGAGAATTCGATTTATCCGTTTAGGAGATGTTCATCATCTCATTCGTCCGATTCTCTGATGGAAATCAAGTCCGGAGAGGTTGGGATCGTCTCCGGCATTCCCGAGCAACATCTCCGACGAAGGGTGAGAACCTCTCTCTCTCTTATGCTCCGGTATTGCGTTTAACATATTTTATGCTCCGGTATTCCGTTTAACATATTTTATGCTCCGGTATTACGATTTCTCCGGTCAGGAGATGTTCATCATCTCTCTCTCTGTTTGTTTTCCTGTTTGATCTGGGACAGGTTATAATCTACTCGCCAGCACGAACTGCTACACAACAAGGATCTGGGAAAGTTGGAAGATGGCACATTAATTTCCTGTCCACCAACAAGTAAGCAACTCATCCGGAGCTCTGACATGTGAACTTATCCGATGTTTTCGATTGACTTCAGTCCCATTGCTCTAGTTAGTAAGGTCTTTAGTATGTAACTGAAAATACTGGTTTTGAACATTGAATAGTGTGCTTCAGGATCCTTGCCCTTTAGGTTGTTGGATCAAGAACGCGACTAGGTGTAGCTTGTGAGCATGGTCTTGTTCTGGATTGATGGGTTTAGATGAATTCACCAGTTCAGTTAATGGGAGAAATCATGGCTTGAGGGTCTTATTATCTTGTGTAGCTTTCTGCACGATTACTATCTCGATAGGGTTGGTTCTTGGATTTTCAAGCTATTTGGTTATAAGAAAGATGGATATTTTGAAGGACAAATGACGCTCTAGGATTATAGATTTGCTTTAACAGAGCAATGATCCTAAAATCATGCACTCTTCACATGATCAGGGACATAATCTCTCAGAAGCTCTTCATCCATGTCTGAGGTCTGAATTCAGTGGCTGTGTCCTTTTCTTTTAGGTGGGAGAACCCTCTGATGGGTTGGACATCAACTGGAGATCCATATGCCAATGTTGGCGAGGCTGGCCTCAGTTTTGACAGCGAGGAAGCTGCTAGGGCTTTTGCAGAGAGACATGGATGGGAATACACAGTATGATTCTAAATTCTTGCATCCATACTTAGTGATTAATCAATGTTCCGAAAGATCAATGCTTTCTACTTGGCATCACCTAGACATAGAATATGTTTATGACTTTACAGCAATCTAAGTAATGGGAAGGGATGATAAACCATTGAGGCACTTTCCTTTCTTCTGTTAGCTTCAAAGATCGGTTCTTGCTTATAGATGGTAGAATCAATCAGATGGTTTAGGCGTAGAATGAGATGGTCCCCATGAACAATCTCTATCTATTATGACTTTTGATTTCTCCATCATCGAATGCATAATTGCTTGGTTTGGAACGAAATTTCCAGGTCAAGAAGCCGCACGCTCCGCTTCTGAAGGTATGCAAAATTCTCTTCTGTACGCTCTTTGTTAGATTTCCACAACTATCCGATTCATTTATAACATTAAGGATAAAATGCTCTTAGAACTCTCACCGACATGCAAATCGTGCACGGAACACTCAAATCTCTCTGTCTCTCTTCAAAGTTGATACGTTATATGACATCATTGACTTGTGATTGCTTTGCAGCCCAAGTCATATGCGGACAACTTCAAGTGGAAGGGTCCTCCTGTCACCCAAGACAGTTGAAACTGTATCATTTCTTCACAAGGTGATGTGTGTGTATATATATATGTATGTGTGTGTAGAGCTTCTTTGTTGTAATTATTTTGTAAAGATTCAAACTTTAATCCAATAAGAGTCTGAACCATGTGATGGACCATTCAGCTTTTGTCCATCAATGTGTTTTCAAACCTATTTTGCTTGATCTTAATGTTTCCATATAGAAGAGAAGAAACTTGTGTTTTTTGTTTTTGCTAATATTATTATTGCACTAGAGATATATATAACTAAGTGATAAATATACAGGTTGAAGCTATGAGGCTATAAAATCTAAAAGCAATAAGGCTGAAATTTTTACATAATTAAACTGAGAAGTCGGTCCATTCAGACATTAACGCAACCGGACTGCGAAGTCTCTTTAGTGTTGGGACGGAACCTCCATGAGAGAACATAGCCATTGGACCGACAATTAAGTCTCACCACGTCGCAGAAGCCGTCGACGAGCTTCTTGTCTTTCTTCATGTCATCGTCTCTTCCCCACTCGATCCTCGTCCAACACGAGAACCCATTGTCCGAAACGGGCACTTTCCGGTCGGAAAAACAGAGCATCACTTCCCCACAAATCCTCTTCCCTCTCGTTGCTCTTCCGTTGTTGACCATGGAATCCATCCATGAACACTCGGGTTGACCCACCATTTCCTTGTAGGCCGAGTTCACGAGCCTGACTCGGTTTTCATAGTCGGTGATCAGAGCAGGTGAGTCATCTGATTCCACTTCTTCTTCAACCTCTTGTGCTGTCTTGGAGCTTTGGTCTCCATCGGCTGACTTCTTGTTCGGGTTTATGCAGGAGACAATGATCTTGGAACCGACAGGACGAATCGGCTGCGGTGCTATGACTTTGTTCGTGGGTTCCGCCATGGATGGTCTCTGTAATTGACCCAAGAAATCTCTCTCCTCCAACAATTCAGCAGACTTGTTCAAATCAATGACTCTTCTCTCTTCCCCTTCGGGTTCCATGAACTGGGTTTCAGTAGAGACAGGGGAAGGAGAAGAAGAACACTGAAGGAGAGGCAGAGTTACCAAACCAGAGGAGCCGACAACATTCTCCAACGCAAACCCAACTTGAGAAAGGCCTGGAACCAGAGGAGGAAACGCCTGAAACGACAGCATTTGAACACCTCCGGAGAACCCAAGAACATGCTGTGAAGTGGCCGTCGTCTTGGTCCTTTTCAGACCGAGGAGGTTACGATGAGGAGGTGGAGCCATGGAGCTTCTGCCACGCTTCCTGGTCCTGGTGGGTCGTGCCTGAAGCTGAGGCCAGATGCTTCGAAGGTAAGGAGACTGGTTGATCTTCTGAGACATGGAGGAGGAAGAAGAAGAAGAAGGGTCATCGTCGTTAAGGGGAGGCGTCTCGGGCTTAGGAGCAATGGGTCGATACTTTGACAAAATCTCAGCCGTCTTGAGGGTGGTAGTGGAAGTAGCGGAATGAGAGGGAGGGTTTAGTATCTTGATCATGGCTTTGTTACTAACTCAAGAACAAGAACATGAACAAGAGGAAGAGGAAGAAGATGAGGAAATGGGTATTCGGAGAGGATGATATATCATAAGAATGGCGGACCAATGAGGGGAAGGCAAAGGAGGAGAGAGTGGAGTGACATTTGGAGAGAAAACGATGGGTACGTGTTTGAGAGCGTTGCGGATAGGGACACGTGTGACTATACATAATATATATGTATCTGTATATACATTCGTATACATTATATATGTGTGTGTGTGTGTATATGTGTATGAGAGAGTGCCGTTTTGGAGGATATTAGGGTTCACCAATCAAAGAGAGACTCTCACGGCAACGCGTGTTGCGTAAGAACGTCATGCATGCCTACACCTAACCTCCTCTTTGCTTCCACCTTTAACTTCGTGCCCTCTTCTCTCTCTCTCTATTTTTTTTCCTTATGAAAGATTTATTCCTTTGATTTGCGCCGCTTCATGTGTGTAATGTGTATATACATATATATATATGTATATATTATATGATGTTCAGAGGGTTTTTAAATCGTGGGTAACTTAGGGTTTTGCCACCTAAATCGATAAAAATGAGGTTAGAGGATTGATGGACGTAAGTGGCTTTGCGAGGTAACTGAACACATGAAATGATCATAGAAAATAGAAATTGTGAAGTTTAGATTACTCATTCCATATATGTTGGACCACATGCACAAGATTCGAAGGGTGACAATGATGTAAATATTGGACACAAATACGAAGAAATTCTCTGATAAATTGTTGCGTACTAGGCTTTTTAATTTTAAAGTTAGAAGTTTGAATTCTTTAAACTTTTTCAGAGATAGATTGATTTATAAATTATTATACGGAGTTGATTTATATTTTTCGTGTGGTTTACAGATTATAAAAAAGTAGTAAATATGAGTGTAATTAAAGACTAAGTCATGCACGAGGCAGTTGATGCGCTTGTTATGATCCATGCAATCGGTGGATATATATTATATTATATATAGTAAGATGGAAGCGTGATTACAATTAATCACCCAAAATGAAAAATATAATCTTGACCGCATGAAGAAAAACACCTAAACTGCCAGATTTTCCGTGCACAGAGCACTCAACTGTCAGATTTCATTCATAAGCTGGACCAACTAGTTCAGAACATTATTTTATCTTATCAAACGAGCATGCAATCTCGTAAAAATTTGTTATTACAGGATTGGTACTATATCACAAGGTCTCCCTAATATGTCTTTTGCTAGAAAAGCAATAAGAATGGAAGTTTTATTTTGTTAACCGATTTCAAAACGGTTATGTAAACTAGAAACAATAATTTTTTTTGGTTAATAGATGCACATTTCATAAAAAAAAATCACCTAAAAGATTTTTTTTTAAAAATATTTTTGTAATTTAAATTATTCCCTATCCATTTTCTATGTATTTTTTCTTTTTGTTAAAGGTTCACCCACTCAACCAAATGTTCTGTCCACCTTGGACGTTCTATGTATTTTTAATACATCAATTTTTCCGTTATACTTTTTGAACATATTATATATATTTTTTCTTTCCTGAACATTTCTGTAAAAACATCCAATCATATTGTCAATTTGTCTTAACACTAAAGATACTATAGAACAATAAGAAAATAATGTAAAAAATTTGAGCATTACAATCTATTTGATATATCTTTTTAAAACACTATACTAAGTTATTGATTTATACGCTTATGTGTATATTTTAGCATTACACCTACCAAAATACATAAATAAATTAGGAATCCATATATGTAAATAGAGTTTACCTGTGTATTTTGAACACACGATTTATTCACGAGGTCAAATATTAAATCCAATTTTATCAAAAATAAATAAATATTAAATCCAAATATTTGTTTTTTCACAAACTAAATAAATCACATGGTGGGCCAATTATGTTGGCGTTATTTTGTTTAATTCATAAGGAAAGTAATTAATGGGCCCTTAAAACATAACTGAAGACCCATTGGGCTTCACTGCGAATGTTTACATTGAGACAAACCTTTCCTTTTCACAATCTCCCTTTTTTTACTTTTTCTTGGTTGTTGTGGAGAACGACGATTGGAGGGATCGTTGCGTGAATGAAGGTACTGCTTCAATGGCGGAGAACGTCGCTGTCACGAAGAAGATCGAGCCTTCGATTCCTGCAAACTACGTGAGTATTCTTCAGCTGCAGGAGCGTTGGCTCAAGGAGAAAGAGCGTAAGCAGAAGGAGAAAGAAGAAGAAGAACGAAGACGGAATCAGCATGTCGAGGAGCAGAAACGGGGAGAGAAATATCTAGAGAAGGAAGTCGGTGATGGTGTTAGATGCCGGAACTCCGACGGGAAGGGTTTCGGTCGAAAGGATCGGAGGTTTTCTGGACGAAATCTTCGGAGAAAGGAAAGATTTTCCGGCGGTGAAGCGATTTCCGGCGATTCAGAGGAACCGATAATCGCCGCGGTCGTAATCGAGAACGGTGAAGCGGCGGCGGCGGCGGCGGCGGCAGATGAGAGATCGCCGGAGATTAAGAAGAAAAAGAAGAGATCAGGTAAGAAGAAGAGAAATCAAGCTCCGATTGAGGGAAATTTCGTCGGATGTGAAACAAACGCGCCGCCTGAGAACAGCCGAAAGGATGATATTCCTGTGAAGAAGGTGATTGGGAGAGTGTATAAGCCAAAAGAGGTAGATTATCCACCAAGCGAGAAAGCTCCGACCGATCCGAAGACGGCCATGGAAACGCGATTCGAGGTTCTTACCATCAATGGCGGCGAAGAGCGAGGAGACGCTACAAAACTCAATCCAAGGGCAAGGTTGAATCGCGGCCATGACAACGAGCGGCGGAATCCGAGGACGAAACGCTATGGGAGAGAGCCGATGATGGTGTGGGTGAAGAAGGGAGAGATTCCTGCAAAAGGCAATGGAAGTGGCCAGTAAAACGTACAACTCTTCCTTAATGGTCTGATCATTGTTGCGTAGATTTGTTGTTTAGGGTTTATGATGATTGAATTGAGAATCTGAGATGAACAAACAACAGTAAATCCCTACATTGTTCTGGTTGCAGGGTCTCCATTGATTGAAGCTGTTGCGAGGTGAAAAAGGCAAAACATGTATGTGGGTATGATCTTGGAACAGAAGACAAGAAGGTAGTGAATTGAATTCTTCTTAGAGAGCATTAGGGTTTAGGGTTTGATTTCAGCCATTGGATGTGAATGAGATTCTCTGGAATTCGTATGCAGAGATGGCATAGTATTGAGTTTGTGAATGTACATACTTATATATGATCATGCCATGTTAATTCTATCGCTAGATCTACCCGAGTCACTTTACCTGCCTGCAACTTGTTCGTTTAACCTTTAAATATAACTTGTAATTAATGTTGGAAAACTAAATGCTCGATATTCTTCAAGTAGGCTTTGATCATACATAATAGATGGATGCACCCAAGGATGAGGATATTAATGCTTGAAAACCATTTTTATTATTTTATTAATGTTTGATAACCATTTTCATTACTTTATTATTTTCAACTAGACAAATAGATATAGAGTATCAATTTAACTGCGGACGACTTCAGGTGTGAGATCAGATGTAATGTAATCCTATCAGAAATATTATCTTCAAAGTTTTTTTTTATAATCCGGAAGTTCACCGAAACTTTTGGCCCGACTACATCTCCCAGAGGACCGGAAAAGCCCAGGTGAATGCCCCTTTCCACGCTTGGATTTGAACCCAGGGTAAGAGTATGCTTTGCATGTTCTCTCGCCATTAGGTCACTCAAGCTTGGGTATCTTCAAAGTTTCTGAGTAGGTTAAGATTCATATTTCACGTAATTTTGAGTGACATTAAAATCTATGCTATTTAGGTGGACAACTATTGTCTAACATATCATATATCACTATTAGATCTTTTATAGAAAGATAAATCATCAATGCATATTTCTAGTTTTATTCTTAGGTTTAAATCTGGTTCGATGAATCTAACTCAAGTCTAACCACGTCCAACCAATGAAAATTATGATTTCTTCGTCTTGTCTCCCTAACTGTAATCTGCTACGCACATGTAAAGCTCAAAAATACCAAATGTCAGATGAAATCGTTTTCTGTTAACTCATTTGAGATTTCATATTTAACTATTAAAGCACCCAAATTTATAGTGTTTTATTCTGAAAAGGATATTTGATGGAGAATAAGGAACTCCACTTTCATTTTTTCTGCAAAAAAAGTAATCTCTTTTGTGAGAGTAGGGGTGGACACCGGGTAACTCAAAATTTGAGGGTACTTGAATCTGAAGCCGAATATCTCATGTTATATATTTTATTATCCAAACTCGTACCTGTGAAGTCGGATACCCGAACTAAAATACCCGTGAGATAATTATCGGATACATGTGAGTACCCGAATCCAAATATTTTTAATTATTTTCAATTAATTTTTTAAAATATATATATATATATATATATATATATATATATATTCAAAATCAATTTAAATTGTATTTCTATCCAAAATAAATTTATTTTTTTTTAAAATACATCATAAATATATCCAATAATATCTATATAATCATTAATATCAAATAAAATAACACAAAATCTAAAAAAAATTAATATTTAAAGTGTAGTTTTTTATTATCTGGGTATCCGCGAATATCCGTGACATAATATCAATTACCCGAATCCGAATCCAAAAATCCGGTCTCATGTCTCATTGTCTCGGATACCCGAAATTCGGATTTTTTTGCCCACCCCTAATAAGAGGTATCTCTAGCGTGATTCTCTATTTTCATTAATTATTTTGCCATTTCTCTATTTAAGTGTTATGTTTTATTTCTAATATACATATCTTCAACAAAATAATTTTATCAAGAGGAACATAATAATTTGAAATAATAAATAGGATAAAACCTAATAAAATTTTTAAATTTGTAAAATAGTGGAAACCTAATTTTTAAACTTTTCATTTATAAATTTATTCTCAAATTTGTAAATATATTATTATAATTCTTAAACTTGTTAATTGATAGTAGAAAAATATTGACGATGTTGATGTACAAATTAATTTAGAAATTATTATGACACATTTTATAATTTTGAGAATTATAATGACATATTTTATAAATTAGAAAAATCCAAAAAAGACAGTGAATTTTTTAATTTTGACAAAAAAAACACCGAACTTTATTTTTTATCAAAACTTTTTAAACGAATCTAAAAAAACACTGAATTTTTTAAGTGATCCAAAAAAATAAACTTTTCTCCGATTATAAAAAAAAACTGAACTTTTTTAATGATTTAAAAAAATACATGAACTTTTTTCGATTGTAAAAAAAAAATTAAGAAAAATAATAGACGTGTTTGCATCTCATTGTATCACGTCAGTCATTTTGTTTATTTTGACAATCGTTGAAAAGTTAAGTGTTTATTTTGTTAAACTTTAAAAGTTTAATATTGATTTGATAAAATAAAAAGTTCAGTGTTTTTTTGTCAAAATTTGAAAGTTCAGTGTTTTTTGGAATTTTTTCTTATAAATTTATCAAGTAAAAAGTTTAGAAATTAATTTTTTACCATTTTACAATTTTAGTAATTTTAATGGATTTTAACTTAATAAATACTTGCACAACATTGAGTATCAAGATTGAACGAAATAACTCATATACTCATGATCATTATGTAAAATCCCAATAGTTTCTCTTTTTATATTTAAACCAATCATTTATCTAAGAAAATGATCAAAACCAAAATGGGTTTATCCCATAAAAAACCTTCAACTTGTAAAAAAGTTCCACAAATAACCTTGAAATTGCAAGCTCGTAAAAAAAACTTCGAACGTGTCCAAAACTTTCAAATTAAACAAGAAGTTTATAAATCAGCCAATATTTAACATTTTGACCACATTGACCAAAATTGCCAGTACCAGAGTGATGACGTGGCTGATCGGAATATTGACTCTTCTGCCATATCATCAATTTTTATATCTTTTAATTTTAGAATATAATCAATTCTGATTTAAATATAAAAATAAAAAGAATAAAAAACCCTAGAAAACACAAATCCCTTTTCTAGATCGCGACACTTTCACATCTAAAACCCTAGAATCCCTCTTTCGTCTTCTCCCTTGCTTGTCGAGCACGGAATTACACACCGACGGCAACGAGTTCCCACACCATCGTTGTTCCTTCTCCATCGATCATCTTCTGTCTATGGCTCGAATTGTTGGGGTTCCCTTCGGGTTCCTAGCATGCGATCTCATCGATCTAGGGTTTGGATTCTAGGTTTCACGCAGCGGAAGGAAAGATCTAAACCTAGCCAAACGTCACACAAAACCAATTGTGCGATAACCCGAACAATCGTGTATATCGTCGTGGGATTCGAATACTTACCTCGTTCTTTCAAGATCTGGAAGTATCAATCGATCCAGGGCTTGTTTTAATCACCGAGAGTTGAAAGCACAACTCCTCTACACGTATCCACACCGGCGGGATGAATTCCAACGCTTTGGAACGTATCTGCTAGGATTTGTGAAGAGAAAACCGATGTCCTTGACTTGGAATCGATATTCCAATCTCTATAACTCGAAATCAAGCTTCTCTAAGCTCTCATGAGTGTTTTGGACGTCTGAGGTTCATACTCTAGGGTTTGTGGCTCGAGTTCTGATCCTTTGTCTCACGATGTCGTATGTTGAACAAGGGCATGGTTCGAGCCACCCTTCAAGTTCAACCGCTTACTCGTTTAGGCAAACCGACTGATAAAATAGATGTACATTCATCTATAGCGTGGCCACGCATTTTCACAGTCCGATTTCCACGAGGGGCCCAGCGACA